AAATTACACTTACAAAAAACATGACTACATTACATTGTGTGGTCTCAGTATATTACACTTACAAAAACATGACTACATTACATTGTGTGGTCTCAGTATATTACACTTACAAAAACATGACTACATAACATTGTGTGGTCTCAGTATATTACACTTACATAAGGTATGATTAACAATATGAGGTCTTAGTAAATCACTCCTACAAAAAATCATGACTTCATTGCATTGTTGGGGTCTTAATAAATTCTACCAACAACAAACATGACTAAAAACAAGACCACAACACACAGTTGGGATTATGGTAAACCACACAAGTAATGTGACTATAATATACTGTGGTCATCTCAGTAAGTCGTACTTACAAGAAACAAAACCACAATACATGGGGCTCCAGTAAATAACAAGAACTTCTGAGTGTGAAGTCGCAGAAAATAATACATAAATCCTGACAATGGGGCATTGTGAAGTACCTATTGACCATACAAGTATAATCTCAGTATATTTTGAGGTCACAATAAATCATACAAAAAGCCTGACCTTGATAGATGTTTGATTTTCAGTAAAGGAAACTGACAGATGAATTACCGACCTCGGTATAATGTAGGGACCTAGTATGGCTTTCTTGTGAGAAACATGATATTTTAGGTATATTGTAAAATCTCAGTAAGTTGTACAAGAAACCAAACCGTGGTGCATTGTGGAATCATAGCAGATCATACTCAAACACTACCCTGGTGCTGTAAACAGTCCAAGTAATTTCTGTAATAAGTATGATCTATGTACTTTTTGGAGTCGGTTACATTTACAAGAAGCATGGCCTCAAAAAATTTTAATTTTTGGTTTGGTTTTTGATATTTTTTATCTAGCTTATTTTACCCAGTTCAGAATTCCTCAGTATTATATATCTCGTGAACTCACTTGTCAGATAAAATTTTTTACTTTGGGAAATACATATCTGTTACTAGTTGTTAGGTTTTACAGATTCAAGTTTGCACTAAAATAGATAAATGTAGCTCAACTTTAAATGTGCAGGATAAGTTATCATTTCTAATTTGTTCAACAAACAAATTTTGATAACCATATATATGATTAAAAAGGCAAAAGTGAAAATATAGATAATTTTAACAAAATTACAATTGCTATTCACTTTGAACCAAAAAATATACTTTGTGTTGTACATAGAAGTACCTTGAGCATATACCTTCATGATGTTAGGAAAACATGTAGGTTAGAAAAACCAATTTAAGACATAAACACAAAAGCCCAAGCCCTTTTGAAAGGTGGATTTCTCTTCCTGAGTTTGAGTGAAATGAAGAATGATACATTTTTTGAATGTACTGAGTTATAGGGTTTTATATTTTTATCAAGAAACATACGTGATATTAGAAAAAGAAGCATATCTGATGTACTATTGAATAATATAATTACAATAATATTCTGTTTACTAAACATTTTTGTTAGAAAAAAACAACTCCTGTTGAATTTTTTCCAGGAAGTTTATCACTCTACATACACAACATACTGTTTGTCTGGAACTATACCATGTAACATACACAACATACAGTTTGTCTGGAACTATACCATCTAACATGCAGTATGTCTGGAACTATACCATCTAACATACACTTTGTCTGGAACTATACCATCTAACAT